GCTTTTCGGCTTGCCCTACCTTGGACTCTATGAGCGCCAGGGCAAGGGAGAGGGAGATAGATTTGGAGCACATCCGAAAATGGAAATCTGAGGAGGGACAGGCAGGAGGGGCTTCGGGGAAGAAGCCTAAGGGATCAGATGGGAGGCCGAAAGGCCAGTCAGGACCGAGCCGCTGCAGGAAGTGCGGCAGGCCGCACGAGGGGGCGTGCAGGATGGGATCGTCAGGCTGCTACAAGTGCGGCAAGTTTGGGCACATCAGCAAGGATTGCACTACTCCTGCGACAATTATTCAGACATCGGAGTTGCCGTGTTTCCACTGCAACCAGAGGGGTCACAAGAAGGCCAATTGCCCCATGTTGACAGTTTCAGCGCCAGTGAAGGTGCCAGCTCCAGCGACCCTGCGGATCACGGATGGCCGTCAGGGCAGGGCAGAGGCTCCGGTGGTGAGGAGCCGAGCATTCCAGCTGACTACAGAGGAGGCACGCGCCGCACCCGATGTGGTGACGGGATCGTTCCATGTGAACGACATCCCAGTTCAGGTATTGTTCGACTCGGGTGCATCCCGATCGTTCGTTTCTCTTGCGCTTAGCAAGAGGTTTCATGAGACTTCAGGCGAGTTACATTGCCCGTTAGAGGTAGAGATTGCTGACGATCGATCGGTGCAAGCATCGATGGTGTTTCGAGATTGCGTTCTGCGACTGTTTGAGGAGCGTTACCTGGTAGACTTGGTTCCCATTCCATTGTGTGGGAACAAGGTGATTATTGGCATGGATTGGTTGAGTCCTAATGGGGCAGTGATAGATTGCGCGCAGCAGCTAGTGTGAGTCAGGACCCCAAGCGGGGGAGAGTTAGTGATTCATGGCGAACGGCCACAGTGTGGACCCACTGTATGTTCGGCAGTGAGGGCTAGGCGTTATCTTCAGCAGGGATGCGCGGGATATGTCGCGTATGTGATGGATACCCGGGAGGCGGGTAAGGCGACCGTGAGCGAGGTCCCGGTGGTTCGAGATTTTGCAGATGTTTTCCCGGAGGAACTACCTGGGATACCTCCGGAGCGACAGTTGGAGTTCAGGATTGATCTTATTCCCGGTGCGGCTCCGATAGCCAAAGCACCGTATCGGTTGGCCCTCCCGAGATGCAGGAGTTGTCTACGCAGCTGCAGGAGCTGATGGACAAGGGATTTATTCGTCCGAGTAGTTCGCCTTGGGGAGCCCCAATTCTATTTGTGAAGAAGAAGGATGGGTCGCATCGGATGTGTATAGATTACTGAGAGTTGAATAAGGTGATGGTGAAGAACCGTTACCCACTCCCGAGGATTGATGACCTCTTTGACCAGCTTCAAGGAGCATCTTGGTTCTCCAAGATTGACTTGCGTTCGGGTTATCATCAGATGAAGGTCAGGGAGGAGGATACGCAGAAGACCGCGTTTCGAACACGTTATGGCCACTATGAGTTTGTGGTGATGCCGTTTGGGCTCACCAATTCTCCTGCCGCGTTCATGGATCTCATGAACCGCGTTTGCAGACCGATGCTGGATCGGTCTGTGATAGTCTTTATCGATGACATCTGGTTTATTCCAAGACCCAGGAGGAGCATGAGGAGCATCTGAGGGAGGTGTTGGAGACCTGAGGAGGGAGAGCTTGTATGCCAAGTTCTCCAAGTGCGAATTCTGGCTGCGCGAGGTGCAGTTTCTTGGGCACCTCGTCAACCAGAACGGGATTCTGGTCGATCCGGCCAAGGTTGAGGCCGTGATGAGATGGGAGGTTCCAAAGTCTCCATCTGAGATTCGGAGTTTCCTAGGATTAGCGGCTATTATCAGAGATTTATCCAAGATTTCTCCAAGATAGCGTACCCCTGACACGACTGACGAAGAAAGCCGTGGTCTTTCGGTGGGGACCCGAGCAGCAGGCTGCGTTTGAGATGCTGAGACAGAAATTGTGTGAGGCGCCGATCCTAGCCCTGCCCGAGGGCGTAGAGGATTTTGTGGTTTATTGTGATGCGTCCATTTCGGGGTTGGGCGCAGTTCTGATGCAGAGGGGGCATGTCATTGCCTACGCTTCGAGACAGCTCAAGCCCCACGAGGCGAACTACCCGACGCACGATTTGGAGTTGGGGGCCGTGGTCTTTGCCCTCAAGATTTGGCGACATTACCTCTACGGGGTTCATTGTACCATCTACACGGACCACAAGAGTCTGAGGTATCTCATGGACCAGCCGAATCTGAACATGAGGCAGCGTCGGTGGTTGGATGTGGTGAAGGATTATGATTGCGAGATCCTTTACCACCCGGGGAAGGCCAACGTGGTGGCCGATGCGCTTAGCCGCAAGGCGGTGCCGATCAGGGACGTATGCCTGAGGATGACCGTAGTGACTCCCCTATTGGAGCAAATTCGGGAGGCTCAACAGGAGGCTATCAAGGAGGAGCATCGGAAGAGCGAGCGTGTGGTGGGTCAGGTATCCTCTT